ATATTGGAAGAATTAAGACCAACATGAAAAACATAAAAAACGGACAGAACCATGGAATAATAGCAAATATAATACAAATACTAAGAATAAAAAGTAGCTGCAATGCAAGGGAAAAGAAAGTCAGTCTGAGGCTACGAACCCCTTCTGCATCTTGATGTCGGAGACGCTCGTCTTAGACTTCTTCGTCTCGGGGTAGAAGAGCTTGGAGAAGGCGAGGGCGGCGGGGGCGTTCATGACGGAGGCGGAGATGAGGTGGGCGGGGTCGACGCCGAAAGAGATGTAGGCAGCCAGGACGGAGCCGGCTATGGTAGCGAAGCCGCCCGTCATGACAGCGTGCAGCTCTGACTTGGTCATGAACGGAAGGTATGGCTTGATCAGCAGGGGGGCTTCGGTCTGTGGAAGGACAGGGAGTGAGTATGGGCATTAGAGAGGGGCGCAGAGGGAAACGTACCCTTGGGGAGCAAGACTCACTGCCTCCGTCTATTGTCATTCCGTTCAGCCGTCCTCACACAGAATCCAGAATAAATGTAAAGCACCAAAACCAGGTCAGAGCACTGGCACAGTTGACGACAGACTGACCCACCTGCCCGAGGAAGATGTTGGCAGCGGCGTTGACACTCTCGCAGGCGGTGGTGCCGACGGTGACCTGCAGGACCCAGCCTAACTTGATGACGACCCACTGCATGACGCCCCAGTAGTACAGGATCTGGATGCAGAAGCTGAAGAACAGGATCACAGACAACACCTGCGGAGAACAAAGGAGATTCAGGACCGTTTTGCGTCAGCCATGTTGCTCTCGGAGGAATGGATGCTTATTGTGAATGTATATCCAACACACTCACTCCCTTTCTTGCTTTTTTCATTCTTTCTTGCTCTCTCTCTCTCTCTCTCTCTCTCTCTCTCTCTCTCTCTCTCTCTCTCTCTCTCTCTCTCTCTCTCTCTCTCTCTCTCTCTCTCCCTCTCTCTCTCTCCTCTCTCCTCTCTCTCTCTCTCTCTCTCTCTCTCTCTCTCTCTCTCTCTCTCTCTCTCTCACACACACACACACACACACACACACACACACACACACACACCTAACATTTCCGAGCTTATACAAGAGAGAGCGAAAAATAACTCCCTCAAAACCCGACCTTGAAAGCGAAGATCTCCATCTCCGACACGAGTTGTCCGAAGACGAACTCGGAGCCCTCGTCCGTGAAGGCCAGGAACGTGGTGACTTTATCGGCGGCGCACTGGAACACGGACTGACCCAGCGGCCAGCGCAGGATCACCAGCCCAAGCACAAACTGCAGGCCCATCCCCCAGCCCACGTGGCGCCACCGGACCTAGGAGGGAGGGAAGGAGGGAGGGTGAGAAGGAGGGATGGGAGGGAGGGAGGGAGGGTGAGAAGGAGGGGGATGGGAGGGAGGGAGGGAGGGTGAGAAGGAGGGGGATGGGAGGGAGGGGGGTGAGGATGAGGGGCATGGGAGGGAGGGAGGGGGGGTGAGGAGGAGGGGTATGGGAGGGAGGGAGGGAGGGAGGGAGGGTGAGAAGGAAGAGGATGGGAGGGAGGGGGGGTGAGAAGGAGGGGGATGGGAGGGAGGGAGGGAGGGAAGGTGAGAAGGAAGGGGATGGAGGGAGGGAGGTGGGGGTGAGAAGGAGGGGGATGGGAGGGAGTGAGGGAGGGAGGGAGGGTGAGAAGGGGGGGATGGGAGGGAGGGAGGGAGGGAAGGTGAGAAGGGGGGGATGGGAGGGAGGGAAGATGAGAACGAGAGAGGGAGAGGGGGAGGGAAGGGAGAGAAAGGGGAGAGGAAAAGGAGGAGGAGAATAGGGTGGATAGGAGGTGGAAGGAGAGGGGGATTCCGGGGTGATATGGGGGAGGGTGGGTGGTGGAGAGAGGGAGGGAGAGGGAAAGAGGAATGTATAGAGGAATAGAGAGAGTGAGAGAGAGAACACAATGGACCTAACAAAAAATCTTTATCTATCCTCCAAGGCGTAGTAGCAAGAAGGAGGAGGAGGAAGAAGAAGAGGAAGAGGAAGAGGAGGAGGAAGAGAAAGAAGGGGGAGTGGAAGAGGAGGAGGAGAAAGAAGAGGAAGAAGGGGATAAAGAGAAAGAAGGGGGAGTGGAAGAGGAGGAGGAGAAAGAAGAGGAAGAAGGGGAGAAAGAGAAAGAAGGGGGAGAGGAAGAGGAGGAGGAGAAAGAAGAAGAAGAGGAGGAAGACGAGGAGGAGGAGAACAAAGTGTAAAAAAATTATGAATAATGACGATGATGATGATGAAAATAATAGCGGAAAGAACGAGGAGGAGAGTCAAAAGTTAATAAAAAAGATGATACTGATGATTTTGACGATGATGGAAACAATATCAGAAAGATGGCGGAAGCGATTGGAAAAGATGAAGGATAAAACATGATTTTAAAACCGCCCCCCCCCCCCCCCCCAACCCCCACCTACCTTCCTTGGCGCAGCGGAGAAGAGGAACCCAAAGGCTATGAGCGTGGCGATGCCCAGCAGGGACTGAAGCCGCACGAAGTCGTTCCAGGAGTCGAGGACCACGAAGGCCAGGGCGCCGGCCAGCAGCACCAGGCCCACTAAGACGCCTGGGACCCTGGTTGGGAGGTTGCCGAGAGTTCATAGTGTGTGAAGTAACTTATCTTATTTAGTTGCTGTTTTGTGTTCATAGTTACAACAATAATAATGATAATGATGATGATGATGATAATAATGATAATAACCATAATGATAATTACAATGATGATGATGATGATGATAATAATGATAATAACCTTAATGATAATAATTACAATGATGATGATGATGATAATAATGATAATAATCATAATGATAATAATTACATTGATGATGATGATGATGATAATAATGATAATAACCATAATGATAATAATTACAATGATGATGATGATGATGATAACAGAATAATACCAATAAAACAACTTACTTTGAGGCAACTCTGGACACATTTGCAACCACGTACACCTCAAACGCCCGGGAAAAAGGAAGGTTTTTCCCCATAAGACGTTTTATCACCTAAAAGGAATATATTGGTAGGTTCAAATCACGTCCATAAACATAGTCAGAAACAACATATTGATATTTACATACATGCATACATTCAGACACACACATAGAAAGCCAAAACACTCGTCACCCGCGAAGAATATAAAAAAATCTGGATAAGAGAAAATATAACCAAAGATGGCAGATAAATACTGCAGAAAAAAATGGAATAGGTAAGGAACAAAAAAGAACAAGGAACGGAAGAAGAAAATACCTTTATTTGGATGGTAATAGTCCTCCAAGTAAAACAGGTTTACTATCGGCACCAAATTGTAGACAGACAAACATTAGCTTTGCAACCAAAAGGAATACCAAAAGATAATATAAAAAAAATACGTAAATATAGTTGGTTTATGTCCGAAGTTACTAGAACTAGATACAACAATTGACATTAATAAACCAGATGTAATATGCATCACTGAATCCATACTGGATCCCTCCAGGGGTAGCAATAATAACAAGGAAATGAATTGTTATAAAGGAGTTATAGATTAAACAAGACCCAATAGTAGAACTAATGGCAGTTGAGGTAGAAACAAACGGGGTACACGTAATAAAAACCACAGTGTACATGTCACTTCATACACCGGTGTGGTCACAAGAAAATTACCAAAAACTAATTCAAGAAACGTTATTAAAGAGCCTGGAGAAAGTGATACAACTTTCGGAAGCTAAATAAATTATTGTTCCAGGGGATTTTAATAGCAAAATTAATACCAGATCTCAGATCCCAGAATTCAGCCACATTCGTGAAAATTACTAGAAGCCATAAATGGATATTCCTTTTTCTAAAATGTTACAGATCATACCAAGGTAAGAGGTCTAGAAAAACCGTCTATACTTGACCTAATATACACAAAGCATAAAGATGACATTAAGGAATTTGGAGAACTGTAATCCTATAGGAAAAAGAGATGTAATAATTAAACTAAAATAGTTTCTGCTATAGGAAAACACATGAGTAAGGGAAGAAAGGAGAAATACAATTACAAGGGAAGTAATTTTGAAAGATTTCTAACTGCGTCTTAGGGAATGTGCCGAAGAAACTATGTACTCCGTTATTGTTAATATTCCAGAATTCAGTAAGACAAGGAAAACAGCCAAAAGATTGTAAACTTACCAAAGTTACATCTTTATATAAGAGCGGCGACAAACAAAACCCTCTAAATTATAGATCAGCTTCGTTAACCAGTGTAGTATGTAAGCTGTTAGAAAGGATAGTTAGGAAACAGTACTTGAAAAATTTGGTTTTAGGGATTTGGTTTTAGGGAAGGAAGGTTATGTGTAGCAAATTTCCTCAGTTTTTTATGGCAGAGTTTCTGAAATATTACAAGAAAGAGACGGGCTGTGTATAGAAGACTATTATGGACATTAGAACACCTAGGTGGTGTGAAAGGCAAGATCCTCGAATGAATGAAAGGATTTAGGGCCAAACATAAGGTCAGATAGTTGTCTGAATATGTTTGCAGAGGACGAGAAATTACAAAAAAAGTTATTAGACGACGTCTCTTGCTAACACTTCCAAAGTGACATCGATAATTCATTAATGTGAAGCTGTACTTGGAAAATGGAACTCAACACTAATAAATGCCATGTAGTCAGGTTCGTAGAAAGTAAAAATCGTCCACTATACCAATACAAATTTGGCCACACAGTATTTAACCCAACAGATGGGAAAAAAATACCTTGGAATAATCATAAACAGGAACCGAAGCAAATGATTATATAAACGAAAAGATCCATAAAATGCTTGGGCTGATTGCCAACATGAAGAGGGAATTCTTGTATGCGGTCGAAGAGATCATTACAGCTATCATAAGACTTAGTTTACAGTACGGTGCAGTGGTACAGAGTCTACGCTTAAAAAATGATATAGACAAACTGGAAAGAGTTCAAAGAGTAGCCACAAGATGGGCACCTAATCTAAGAGGTATGATCTACGAAGATAGACTACGGAGAATAGGACTTACTTGAAAGAAAGAAGGAAAAGGGCATATGATTATGCTGTTCAACTATGTTACAGGAAGAGTGAAGTTAGGCTAAGATAACTTAACTAAGATAATTTCGAACACAAGCAGAACGAGAGGACACAGTAAAAAGTTGGAAGTAAAAAAGAATCGAGAAAAATGTAAACATGAGACATAGAACAGTCTTCCAAATAACGTTGTGTGTGCCAAATTGTGCATCAATTTAAAAAGTTATTGAGATATTTTAAATATAGCAGATGAGACCATATGAGCTTAGCTCTTCTCCCGCAATAAAACAGCTAGGTAAGAACAGACACACGCACACACACACACACACATACACAAATCAGAATAATAATTGAATATTAATTTCAGAATACAATAAAAACATTTACATTTTTTTTTTATATTTCATATTTCCTATAAATACCTGGAAGTAGAAAATTGCCAAGGCCACGAGCGATGTAAGCACAATGAGCAGTCCATCAGCCTCGCACCAGTAACTCTGGGAAATAATATGACATCACTTACTTCTCTGTGATTTTCTTTAGTGTTCTGTAGAATATTATTGCTCTCACCAATACCGAAATAATATTGTGCTTAGCTTTATACAGAAAAAAAGGAAAGACAGGATAAAAAGCGTGTTATAAGAAATACAAAAGACATGAGTGAAACATGGGTATCGTTTGGAACATGGACACTGCAAGAATATTTGCCATTCATGTTCTTTTGTCATTTGACATTATAGTGGCTATGTCGTCTAAGCGCTTAATAATCCTTACTAGAACTCGCTCGAGTGATAGGCAAGAGTGAGACAAACAAGCTGAGAGAGAGAAAGGGGGAGAAATATGAGAGAGAAGAAGAAAAGCATCAAGATATAAAAACACATTTTGGACTCACCCATTCTTCCTCAATTTTTGTTTTAATGATGAGAACCGCGGCGAAGTACATCACGAAACCGCCGCCGAAGAGAATCGAGAAGAAGATGTGTCTGTATTGATGCAGCTCCTTGATCTGCAGACGCAGGAGAAAGAAAAAAAAATGGCGTTTAGATTTGTCGGAATTTGCTACCTTCTCTGTTATTGCTATTATCATTCACTGCCATTATTTACAGATGTAGTTTTATAATCATCATTGATAAAAGTAGCTTCATTATTATCTTCAGTACTGTTATCACCACTATTTTTATTATCACTATTTAGCATCATGATTTACACATACACACTAACCGGCAGAGAACGATAAATAGATTCCTTAAACTCGACGTAATTCGGAATCATCGTGAATAAGCTATAATCCTCGTCCTCTTCCTCTTCATCGCTATTATCCCCATTGCCACCTTTATCCTCGTCTACGTGTCCCATAGTCCTCTCTTTCATCATTTCCGGTGCATGAGGAGCGAGTTCGACGTCGCCGGTGTGAGAAGCAGAACTAGTGGGCAGATCCTGTGTCTGAAGGAGCGAGAGGGAGAGGGTGAACAAGTGGACTTTTTGACTGTGAGAGAGGGAAGGGAAGGAAGAGAGAGAGAGAGACAGAGAGAGAGAGAGAGAGAGAGAGAGAGAGAGAGAGAGAGAGAGAGAGAGAGAGAGAGAGAGAGAGAGAGAGAGAGAGAGAGAGAGAGAGAGAGGGTGAACAAGTGGACTTTTTGACTGTGAGAAAGAGAAGGGAAGAAAGAGGGAGAGGGAGATGGTGAACAAGTGGATTTTTGACTGTGAGGGAGAGAAGGGAAGAAAGAGGGAGAGAGAGAGAGAGGGTGAATAAGTGGCTTTTTGACTGTGAGAGAGGGAAGGGAAGGAAGAGAGAGAGAGAGAGAGAGAGAGAGAGAGAGAGAGAGAGAGAGAGAGAGAGAGAGAGAGAGAGAGAGAGAGAGAGAGAGAGAGAGAGAGAGAGAGAGAGGGTGAACAAGTGGACTTTTTGACTGTGAGAGAGAGAAGGGAAGAGAGAGGGAGAGGGAGAGGGTGAACAAGTGGACTTTTTTACTGTGAGAGAGGGAAGGGAAGGAAGAGAGAGAGAGAGAGAGGGTGAACAAGTGGACTTTATGACTATGAGAGAGGGAAGGGAAGGGAAGGAAGAGAGAGAGAGAGAGAGAGAGAGAGAGAGAGAGAGAGAGAGAGAGAGAGAGAGAGAGAGAGAGAGAGAGAGAGAGAGAGAGAGAGAGAGAGAGAGAGAGGGTGAACAAGTGGACTTTTTGACTGTGAGAAAGAGAAGGGAAGAAAGAGGGAGAGGGAGAGAGTGAACAAGTGGACTTTTTTACTGTGAGAGAGGGAAGGGAAGGAAGAGAGAGAGAGAGAGAGGGTGAACAAGTGGACTTTATGACTATGAGAGAGGGAAGGGAAGGGAAGTGAAGAGAGAGAGAGAGAGAGAGAGAGAGAGGAGAGAGAGAGAGAGGAGAGAGAGAGAGAGAGAGAGAGGAGAGAGGAGAGAGAGAGAGAGAGAGAGAGAGAGAGAGGGTGGAACAAGTGGACTTTTTGACTGTG